GCTGAAGGATGGCAGCAGGTAGTAGGTTTCATATAAGAAATTAAGAAAATCAAAAGTATATGTTCCACTTAAGAAGCCTTTTAAACAGGACTACAACTACTACAGAACCAACAAAAACAGAAAAATAAAACAGTAGAAAGAAATGTAAAAAGCAATATAACAAGAATGGATTCTCAAGTGTGTATATAGATCTATGAAATATTACACAACCACTTTAATACAAGATCATATGTTGTTTTAATCATCCACACATAATATTTATTTCTAAGCAATTTTTTAAAATAAATCACAAGTAACTTCAGAGCTTAAATCTACTGAATATTTGGGATCATAAATTTACATTTCCAGTGTTAAAGAATTACAGAATTCTGTTAAGAACATACATATTATTTCCATTGTCCAGCAACTTCTATGTAATAGTTATGCAATTCAAAAGAACATTAAAAACAAATTAAACTTGTCTCAAAAGAAAAATAAATGATGGCCTTGGAGAAGAAATGAGGTAGCAATAGTTAGCAAAAATGAATGTAGCCTAGGAAAAGACAAAAGTGTTAGAAAAATTTTTAAATTAGTCCTGCCTTGACTTTCTTTGATATAAGGAAAGAAAAGTTGCTGCAGCATTTTCAAGCTATTATAGTCTAGCCAATATCAATAGAGTTCCGGTATTTCTTGTGGAGTCTGTTTTCTGAGCCCAAATGGCTGAAAGTACAGGAACGTGCTTCCTGAAATTAACAGGAAGTGCCTACTTTGATGTTAGTATCCTAGTTCATTTATCTATAGTCCTCTGTGAAGAGTGAACTGGAGAAACCTGGTTTAAGGACTCCTTCCAAACCAGGATATGAAACAGTGAGGATGTTTACAATGGTATGTATAACTTTAAGCCAGAACTTAATTGTGAATACTTTGTGCTTTGGTCTTAATTCCAATTTTTTTCTTTTAATGACCTTATGAAGTGGAGTCAGGGCGACTGAATGGAGCTGAGTGCTTATTGACAGGATGCCCTTCCTGATGCCTATGTGGAGTTCAGAGCAAATATTTTCTCTTTGTGCCTGAGAGAAAAAAATATCTGCTGCTACCTAGGATTGAACTCACAACCTCCTGATTATGAGATGAGAGCTCTACCTCTAGGTTACCATGCCATTCTTGATCTTAATTCCACTAAGGTTTAATATTAAAAAAATGACAGAATAGATTACTCTTCTCTAATCTTGGCTCTTTCAAATATATTTAATGTGAGTGGTTATAGTCAATCATCACATTAGAGAATATTGAAATATGTATAGGTAGTCCTTGACTTACAATCAATTATTTAGTGACTATACAATGTTAAAATGGCACTGAAAATATGACTTACAACCAGTCCTCATGCTTATAGCCATTGCCACATTGCCATGGTCACGTGATCAAAATCTGCACAATTGGCAACTAGCTAAACTAACTGTTTTTACAGTTGTGGTGTCCTGGGATCATGTGATTGCCATGTGTTGGCTTCCAACAAGCAAATTCAATGGAGGAAGCCAGATTTGTTTAATGACCATATGATTCACTTATCAACCATGGCAACAAATATTGGGAATGATTCACTTAACAACTACTGGCTTAGCAATGAAAATTCTGTTCTCTGTTGTGGTTGAAAGTCAAGTACTACTTGTAATATAGTTGCCAATAATACAACATACCAAGTAAATTAGGCATCTTTGTGATTGTACGAATACCAAAATAAAATAACTAAATTTCTGCCTGACAGTTATGATGATCAATGATATAAAATTCTTTTTCTTCTTCTTGTGCCATATCCATCATCAGATGATGGCAATCATATTGGTGATTCTATTTTTATCAACAGCCGCATGAAAAAGTGCTGTTGAGTTTTGTCTAAACCAGTCCCTTAGATTTTGAAGCTATGATATTCTTCTTCTGCCTGGACCTTGTTTGCCTTCAATCTTTCCTTGGAGGATTAAGTGAAGTATGCCATATTTTTCCAGGTATTGCATCACATGTCCAAAATATTCTTTTGCTTTTTAATAGTTTTGATCATTTCCCTTGGCTTTCCCAGCTGGTTTATCACCTCCTCATTTCTGATTTTGTCAAGCCAGCTTAGACATAACAGCTGTCTGTAAATCCACATTTAAAATTATACACACCTAAATAAAGGCTCCATTCAAATTTCTTTGTTATTCTTTGCAAAATAATTAACTAGGTTATTTCTTATATAAATAACAAAATAAATAACAATTCCCTTAGGCAGTACTTCACAGGGAGACTTTTGCCTTTCTTTCTCACCAAGATACAATGCAACTTATTCTGCAACCTGTAGTGTAGATTGTAGATAGAGAGTCAACTTTTACGGATAAGCATTTGTTATTTCTGAGGTTGGTGCAAGTGTTTTGCTAGAAGCAAAATTTACTATTACATCTTCTCTTTTCACAGGAACTACCCAAATAGCTGCTGATGGATGAGAAAAGGCAACACATAAAAGTGCTTTTGAAAATCAAAGACTTCTACTGCTCTCCATCCAGAGTTAAAATGGTAAACAAATAAATTCGGGGACAAAAAAATCTGTTTAAAACTGCATGAAGCCAAAGACACACCAGAGTAGATTTGTTAATTTCCCCTTCAGGCTGTTTGTAGGATTTTTTTAAAATAAAGCTTGCATAGTCAAAAATCAATGTCGGAAACTTAGTTGAACACTGATGTTGAATGTTATCTATGGTTTGGAAAATGTGGATCCAATAAATGTGGATCCAATGAGAGCAATGATATCAGTTGACTGACTTCAGCTCAGGGTCAGAATCTGGACAGCACTGTATTTTAGAGAGCAATTATGGCTCATACAGCCTAGAGTGGTAGCTAGTTGAAAATATAGGATCTTTTAGATCTTTAAAAACATGCAAACATAGTTGCAACTATTATGTATGAATAAAGGTCAGGAGAAATGCTTTTTCAAATACTCTCTGCTTAAAATTCTATTTTTAAAAAACTTACTTTTTTGTTACTGATAGTCTTATCTTTAAAAGGAGACATTTAGTATTAATGACTATAAGAAGCTATCTTATACCAAAGCAAACTCTTCAGCAAGCCTTATATTTTACACAGCATATAATAATCCCTTTCAATTTTCAAATTATGTAATAAAAGATGAAATGAAATATGTGAAAAAACCTTTTTATAAAACCGTTGTTGCCTTTTATTTCCAGAATAATTATATTGCTACAATGCAAACTTTAGATCTGGCTATAACTTTTTGTTCTCTTGCCCACGCATATTTAAGTTTAGATATTCATCCTAGTTGTTTATAGATTCAATTCATGAATTCAACATGAGAAACTCATTCAAGTAGAAGGACACAATAGCTGCTGAACATATGTTCTAAACAAAGCTGTTCTAGGAAGCACCAGGAAAAGATAACAAAACTAAAGTAGTAAAAAACCACAAATTCTCATGCCCTGCAAATTATATTTCTGTATTTCAAATACAATGTTGTGTAGATTAAAAAGAATATAAAACTTGAAACCTGTTTGCTTGTTACAGCGTGAGATAATTCCTTTCAGGAAAGCTGTTTTCTTGCTACCTGGGAATTAATGAATTGCCTGCCCAGTGGTGATGGGTAGATGCTCTTCTAGCAAGAGGTCAACACTGCAGTTTGGGTAGATAATGTTTCTTCCAGTATACATTTGCTTTCAAGCTAAGATCAGTTGTGTAAGATTTTGAATATTCTGCCACTCCAACATTTGAATCAACCCAGCCAAAAAAGCTGAAAACCTGATTTACTTACATGTTGGTCTCATAGAGAATGCATGCACCAGGAAACTGGGCATTTACAACTATTTTTCAAGGCAAAACAGATCAAGCCAAGCCCAGTCTGGCTCTGTCCTTGTCTATTTTCTTTTTTTGATTCATCCTGTCTTTACTTTTTGTTAAGACAGGGAAATATACATACACAATGCTTCCACCTGTTTTCCCTACAACATCACACCTATGAGACGGACTGAAAGAAAGAAATTAGTCCAAAATAAAACTGTCACTCAAATAATAAAGGGTACATTCTGCAGTAAGCCGTTTATTTAACCAAGCTACTAAATAAGCTACAATTGCCTAGATTCACACAGCATGCAAAGTTGTACGTTAGGTTTTCTAACAGTGGCTATAGTTACATAACCTGACATTGCCAAATCAAATCCATTAAGTCATTAGTGTATAACTGACAACAATAGCCATATTCCATAATTTGGGAAAGGACCAGGATCATACTGGGTGGGATGAAGATGCAAACTAGAAATTTCTCCTCCCAATGGGTTTTGCAGAAATTTTGATGTAATATTTCTTCACCCTTTTTAAACAATATTATACTATTTAAAAGCTTATGCTACACTGTATTTCCCACCTCAAAACGTCAGGCAATAACAGACAGATTTTTGACATTTGGGGTGAGAAGGCACTTCAAAAAGTGATAACAGACCTCTGGAGTCTCAGCTTGTTCCCTATTGGCTTAAGGTGTCATCCAGGCTTTTCTGAAAGGCATTTGAAATCCCTTTCAAAGTCACATTTATTTTCCATTAATGGATCTGAATCCTATTTTGTCTTCTTCTAAAAACCGTTTTCCTTTTTTTTAATGATTGCCAATCTTTCCTCTCCACAAAGAAGATCGTCATGAAAGAGGAAGATTATCCTTGCAGAACTCTGAACCAATTACTTCGTAAATTAGATTTAACACTGCATAAAATCACTTGTTAATTCTTGACCTAGCAAATCAAATATACAATGTGTTTTATAGTATTTTTATCCTCTTGACAGTTCCGTGAGATGGATCATGACTAAATGGAAATTTGAATGCCTTCAGTACTAATCTGATACTATATAGATAGACAAATAGATGGTGATGATGATGATGATGATGATAGATAGATAGATAGATAGATAGATAGATAGATAGATAGATGATAGACAGATAAGAAAGAAACAAAGAAACGAAGAAAAACAAAGAAAGAAGGAAGGAAGGAAGGAAGGAAGGAAGGAAGGAAGGAAGGAAGGAAGGAAAGAAAGAAAGAAAGAAAGAAAGAAAGAAAGAAAGAAAGAAAAGGGAAAACTCATATTGAGCTAATTAAATTGAATAACATTGACATCAAAAAAGCACTTTACAAAAAGCAGAGTAAAAATTCTGACTTTTGTTAAATTCTGACTTTTGTTACAACAACATGTAAAATTATCTGGCTGTAAAAGGGGGTTTGTCCAAATTCATGGGTCAAGCTAACATGATATCCGTGGTTATGTTGTACCTCTAACATGATATCAGTGGTTATGTTGTACCTCTAATGTTAAGATGTATTTCTTGAAGAATATCTACTGAGAAACCCAACTGAGAGAATGGACTCACTGCCATTTTCTATTTGTGAGTTTTTCATCTGGTTAGCTGTGATGAAAACAAAATCCTGGACAAAATATAGCTTGAAATTAATATAGCAGGATTTTAAAGTAAACATATCTATGATCAAATACTGTATATATTTGATATTGTTGGCAATGACAATACATGTATGCATGGGAACCCTAAAGAAAATGTACAAATCGTGATTAAATTTGTATCTATGCATAATTTTTCAAGAGGCAAATTGTCTGTAATTCCGGAACTACATCCTACCACGAACTTATTTTTATGCTTATGGAAGGTTGCAGCAGAAAAGAACTTGGGAGGGCAATGATTGGAAGAGTGAAAAAAACCAGAACCCAGTGAGGGCCAATAAATGTATACTTGAAAAGGTAACAGATGACTTCATGTTTCCTCTTCTGATAATTCTATGTGTGTTCAGTTCAATTTATCACGTTGATTTCATTTTATTTTATTGTGTTTCCATTTTAAGAAAAATAAGTACCGATGTTCAATTCTTACCAAAAAAAAATGTGTGTTGTGGGGGAGGGATATTTCTGGATATATGCACACATAGAAAGACACAAATACACACACAAAACATATACCAGGACACCTTTTAGAAGGCATTTTGCCTCAGAGCACACATTTCTAAATAGACTGAATCCTGAAACAGAGTTTTATGTGCCTCTTGAAGCATTTTTCTTAGCTAACAGCATCAATATGAAAAATATGTGGAATCACTGCGCTCTCATCCCAGGAGTACTTGAATAGATGCAGATCAAATCTGTTTCCTTTGAAATACCAGGTGAAGTTCTGCAATCCTGCCTTACTGGCTTCTGACTCGGTTGTTATTCTTTTTTGTTACTGATTTATTTTCATCTGTCCCCTCCAAAAAAACCAATTGAAGGACAAAACACAGGTGCAGAACATCTTGTGCTCTCTCTCATCCCCATCTCTGGATGTTTCTAATGGCATTGGTAGGGATCTATCATTTAAGGTAATTTTTACATAACCTCAATCTCCTGTTTTTCTTTTCTCAAACAAATTATTTCTCATAATTAGAGGAATGTCACCTTTGAAATGAATTTTAGTAAACAGTTACATCATGTGCATTGCTACAGAAGTGGTCCTCATGTGGTCAAGAATTTTATAACATTTTCTTCAGTTTTGTATTTTCTAGGCTTTCACCATCAGAATCTGATGATAATCCGAGAAGTTGCTTTTCACTCTTCATTGTCCAGGGTTGAAGGGAGATGTTCTTGGAAAATGTTTCTTTGTTTGTTTGTTTTGTTAAATTTATATGCCACCAATCTTGTCAGACTATAGTACAGATAATTAGATTACAGTATTCAATCTGACTGGTAGTTAGATTCCATGACAACTTTTCACCATGGGAAACCTTAGAAAAATGAGTTCTCTAATAAGATGAAATCCCCATACCTCCCAAATCTATAAAAGGCCCTGATGCAGTAAATTGACTAATAACTCAAGGAAGCCACTAGCCATTGTACAACTGCATTTATATGTTTGTAGGCCTACAGCTGTAAGGATAAAATTCAGGCATTTCAATTTATTGCTTCACTGAAGAAGCTCAAAGCCAGGATTAAAAAAAAAAATCTAAATTCGAATATAATTGCTCTCTTTTAGCTTGCAGAAATGCTGATTAAGGAATGCTTGGCAAAATTTGTAAAATTTGTAAAAAAATGATTTACCCCAATACAAAAGACTATGATGTATTAAATTATCTACAGTTCAGGACACTTGCTGTCAAAGCAAGTTAAAAATTAAATATATCAACACCATATGTTTTGTAAAAGTACTATTAATATAGAAGAAATGATCACATAACATTTTTCTTTTTACAAAATTATATTGAATTGATCAGAAACTGGTCCAGAGTCATAAATATATCCTTCAAAAATTCTAGTTACAATTTCTTAGAAGTAAAAAGTTAATAGTGAGAGTTGCTATAAGACTTTCAATCTAGATAGCCAAGAGATTAAATTAAAATAAACTCATATCAAGTATAATATACATGTGCTGCTATACTGACAGGATTGTGGCTGACTTTCATCTTGAAAGTTGCATAGATAAATAACATCACTATTAGAACTTTGGGCAATGTGTATTTTAAACAAAATCTGGCACATAAGAGATGTTATGCCATATTACGTGGTCCCTTTAGTTGGTTCTGTAGTTTTGATTTAAAAGGCAGGCTTGCTCATATATTCTTCCATTGTCTGCAACAAAGAACAGTCAAGAAAAAAATCCAGTTATCAGAATTTACACAAAGAATTTATAATGTAAGAAAAATCAACCCATTCAAAACCAGATAACTGAAACTAATTTGCTAAGCTAAAGAAAAATCACATTATTAATAGACTAATTCTGTTCTCACTAGCTTAATCTTCTAGCCTCAAGTAATTCTGAATGTTAAAATTATTTACTTTTCAGTACAAAATAAAATAAGTAATTTTGAAATCATGAATTTTATGAACATGAAACATTATTTTGTTAATAAAATCCATAATCTTTCAATCAAATAATTCTAATATTTTCTTTCACCAATCTACAATCATGCTTGAGATAAATACATGTCCATCATCTGGGAAAAAATAAAAAAATAATTTAAAAATAATGAATAAATAAAACAAAAAATAAAAACCCTCAAAGGGCAGACTCATTGAAACATTAGGTCTTTTTCTGCTGTCAGTTTTCTGTTTCTGTGAAGGAACTTAAGCTTTTCTTTAAACACTGAGAATCTCAAGATATAATCTTGTCTCTGGATTGAAAAGGGAATATCAATATATGTAACATTTAGTCAACAAAATTTGTTTGCTCTGGCCTGGTTTGACCTGGGTTCATTCTAGATGCTTCTATGGAAGTGTTTAGTGATTTTCCACCATAATAAAGCCATTCCCAAAATTTGTTTAAAAAAATCTAGCATTATTTGTGCACAAATCAGCCTCAATGGTGTGTTTATGTCCCTTTGAGACTAATTTTATTATGTTACGCATTCAGCTGAGTTGCTGAACAAATGAGACTTAAGATTGTTTCACAAATTATTCCTTGTTTTTTCATAACATCCTAGGTACATGTTATTAGGGATAAGTAGGATTATTCATTTATACAGCTGATAGTAATTATCATGTTGGAAAAATACTCCTGCCTCTTTTAAATCCCTTTTTATTTAATTCTCGCATTGAAAACAAGTATTTGAAAACACTAGATAAGTTAATGGGTAGGCTATGCATTTTAGTGTTTGAACTGACCATTATGCATCATAATATCTGATGGAATTTGTGTATGTGTGTGTGAGAGAGAGAGAGAGAGAGAGAGAGAATGTGTGTGTATTTTGTACATTCCACAACATGATTGACACCAAAGAAGGCCTTTCTATAATCAATTAAGCACTTGTAGAACTTTTTTATTATTATTATTCTTTCTTGATTACTTAGCTGGTATCAACAATAATTCTCTTATTACTTGTGCTTTTCTAAAGGCAGTCAAACATCTGGCATCTCTGCTTCCATATAGCTCTAATCTGTTTTGGATGATCCTAAGCATTATTTTTCTAGCATGTATAATTAAGTATATTGTGTGAATATTTGCTCATTCTGTTAACCCTTTTCTGTTTGATATCGATATGCAGACTCACTTCTTCTAATCCACTGGCCACTAGATCTTTTTTTTGATAGTCTTTGATTAGAAACTTTATAGATTCTTCTGTTGCTTATCATATTTCTATAGATATTTCATCAACTCCTATAGTCTTCCGACTTGATAATCAATAACTGAGCTAACTTACAGTATTAGCTGTTCTTATAAATATAGAGGTTGACACATATAGTGTACAGACTTTCAGAATACTGCTTTCACTTTTGTTTGATCTTCTTTGAATTAATTCTCACCATCCATTGACATTTTTAGCATGCCAGTTCAAGGCTGGAACCTCTTTTTGAGTTAGGAAATCTTTTGAAAGACTATTCTTATTTTTCCATGTTTTTGTTTTCATCTTTACTGTTGTAATAGCGCTTCTTGTCCCTTCTAATATGTCTTAGAAATGTTGTGTTGAGTTCTTCCTTGCGATCTTTGTCTTCCTTGTCTTTGGTTTCTTTTCTTTTTAATTTCCACCTTCATTCTGACATACAGTTTGCATTTTTTCTGTGTCCTGATCTTTGACAGTATGTTTCTGTATTTTTCTTTAACAACATCTTTTATTCATTCCATTGTTCAGCTAGATCTGTGAAGTACAGAACTTCAAATGATTCCTGATGTTCTCCTTGAAAATAGTGGGTACATGTTCAAGATCATACCAGAGAAGCTTGCTGGCTTTCTTGTTCAACTTTAGTTTAACTCCCTCCCTCCTAGGAATCTGGACCACATTCCACCACAGTTCTACTCTCAGTCCCTGGCCATATCATTTTTGTATAAATGAGCTTTTCTACATACTTATACCAACAATAAACTGGTATAATATAATAAAGTGAATTTCATTTTTGGTGTGCTCCTATTGATAATTGCCATGGTGTACCAAAAATCAGGTTGTATATGTCAATCAAATTATTATTTTTCAGAGAAAATTTAACTAAGGAATGTTTACTAGTCATCCATTGAGAATAAGAAATGGTTAGAAGAAAATGGAAATTAATTCCAACATTTAATGTAATTTATACAATAAATCATTTATGGGGCCTGTATTTTGGCACACTCTAAATGTTAACCTAAGCTGGTAAATTTGAATGTGTTAGTGATAAAGAAATAACTGGATTGGCAGAAATTGTTGTATCATTCTCCTGCTTTATTTGATTTCCTGGGCATACAATTCAACCAAATTTTCCTCCTTATAGTTCTAACTTTGGAATTACAGCCTCCATGTTCAGTTAATTTCAAACTGAACTTCAACATAAATTTCAACCTCCATTTTTCTACACCAGTGGTAGAAACATCAACCTGAACACATTGTATATCAAAGGCTGTCCACAAAGACCGACTGATATTTTTGGTCAATGATTTAATTAGTCATGTATTGTTCTTTACGTATATATTTCCTAACTAAAAAAGCAACATCATTTCATCATTGTTTTTCATGTCCTAAACAGTAGACAATGTGGTCTTTTGATTGAAAGTGTCCAGTTCTAATCTATCTCAGTTTGTGGATGCTTAATGAGTAGTTGACTCATTTCATCTTTCAATGTGCTGAACTTTCTCATATTCATGCTTTTTAGGTTCTATGTTTTCATTTTAATTCTGTCCTTGAAATTTTGAATTTTATTTGAATTATCAACTACAAGGTTCTGAAAGCTTCCATCTAGCTAAATCTAGCTACATAGCTACACCTAGACATATAGTTAATATCTGAAAGCTATCCTTAGTAGCATGTTGAGAACCATATATTGATATGGTTTTCTTGGTAAAATATACAAGTAGTAGGAAAAGCTGCCTTTGCCATTGCCATTAAAATGATTTTTGATCTGTATTGCCCTAATATGGGTTCCTGCTTGCTTTAGTTGGGCAGCTGGGATGGCCATTATTTAAGTGACCTTGTGGGATTATACCCTGTTGGCATACATTCCCCATGTTCTTTGATCATCCCTCCTAGGAAAAGCGTCTTTCCACAAGGGAACATTATTTGTATACAGCTTTCTGGGGTATAGCAAATAGCACCATCTACCCCACCTTGGTTGATTCCCTAAAAAGGTAGTAAGAACTTAAATAGAAAATAGCCATTTATAAGGTGGAATGTGAAATAAAAAAATATCATTGAAGGCAATGGCAAAATATTTCTGAAGTTTGACCAAGAAAACTATAAGAATATCATGAAGTGATTAGGAGTTGAACTTTTTACATAGTATTCTAATTTTGATATTGATGTTTAATTTATTATGTCATAAATATATATCATATTGTCATATATATATATGTTTTCTGAGGTTCTCGCGGGTATCGAGATCATAAAGAAACAAAACTTACAACCCAGCGACCTACTAGTAAGCTTCGATGTCATATCCCTCTTCACCCAAGTGCCAATAAAAGAAGCCTTAACAGCATCCAAAACAAATACAACCCCCCCAAGCACATCCTAGATCTGACCAACCACTGCCTATCCAATACATACTTCACCTACAATGGACAAAAATACAAACAGATAGAAGGAGCACCCATGGGGTGACCCCTCTCACCTGTCATAGCAAATCTCTACATGGAACACTTTGAAACACAAGCTCTAGAAAAATATGATCACAAACCCAAACTCTGGCTCAGATACGTAGATGACACCTTCATAATCTGGCCACACGGGAAAGAAAAACTGAACAACTTCTTCACACACCTCAACAGCCTACACCCCAAAATACAATTCACCATGGAAACAGAAGCCAAAAATCAACTTCCCTTCCTAGATGTCTTGGTATACAAAAGATCCAATGGGTCCCTAGGACACACCATCTACCAGAAGAAAACACATACAAACCACTATCTACGTGCACTCTCACACCACCACCCAGCACAGATCAATTCCGTAGCCGAGACACTCATCTCCAGAACAAAATGCTTAGCCAATGAACAACACCAAAAAAATGAACTACACACTCTCACCAATGTACTAACAGCCAATGGATTCCAAAGAAAGAAGATTACCTACCTAATCCAAAAAGAAACCCCAACCAAAATCCTAGACAGAGAACAAGAGAACGGCAAAGCCCTCGTCCCATATATAAAAGGCACTACAGACAAAATCAGCAAGATCCTCCAAAAACACAACATTAAAACAGCATTCTGCACAAACAGAAAAATATCCACCATCCTAAGAAACCCCAAAGACAAAATCAAATTAGAAAACCAAGGAGTATACGAAATCCCTTGCACTGCCTGCCCCACCACATACATTGCACAAACTAACAGAAGAATAAGTGCACGCATCGAAGAACATAAGAACTCAATCAAAAAAGAAGAACCGACCTCTTCCCTGGTCCAACACCTCAAAGCCACAGGACATGAGATTGACTTTAAAAATACCAGAACTATCGCCAAAACCAAACACTTCAACAGCAGAATAATCAGACAAGCCATAGAGATAGAAAAACACCCACACAGCATGAATAAATGAGATGACACCTCCCGCCTACCAGCCATTTGGAAACCCGCCCTCATGAATAGATGAGTACCTAACATGAAGAATGACACCAGACCCACACCCATGAGAGCCACACAAGATGCCACCACCACACTTCCACGTAGAAAACAGACTCACACCCACTCAGAAGATGAGACACGACCACGGACCAGAAGCCGCACTGCAGCTGCACCGCTACCCACTTCAAACCCCTCCGATCCATACATGAAGCAAACTTACACCCACCATGAAGATGCAGCACGACCACGAACTCGAAGCCAAACAGCAGGATCACAGTTCACCAGCTCAAATCCCCCAGCAACTAAGACTAACCTGAGCACAACCAAGGCCCCACCTGAACAGAACACGCCTCCAGCCAATCAGAACATGGCCAACCCCCCAACCAATCACAACACAGCCAAACCCCCTACCAATGAGAACACACACACACCCAATCAGAACACAGCCAAGCCCCCACCCAATCAAGTCACACCCCCACTAGCAGTTAAAAAGAAGAAGCAGCTGCGAGCTCACATCACTCTGAGAAGCACAGAGCCGAAGACAGAAGCCTGAAGATGATGAATGAGACTTCATCGAAATGTTGCCTAGATACCTCGAATCTTACGTGGGAGAAAACCCGAACAACCAAAGATCCCCCCCCACACACACACTATGTTCTAATAGTATGATTGATGACCTAAATCAATTTCTCAACCCAAGCAACTTTAAGAGGAATTACTTTAACTTCCAGAATTCCCCAGTTAGCCAGAATTCTGGGAGCTGAAGGCTACCCATCTTAAAGTTGCTCAGGTTGAAAAACACTGGCCTAAAACCTATATAGGACAGTAATATTTTTTAAAAAGGAGAGAAAGGGAGGGATTTGTTTTATTCTCTCTTCTGCCTTACCTCTTGTAACATATCACCATCTTCTATGGCTTTCACCGCAGATTTTTTGGATGTTTCTTGAACTTCCCCACTCATTAGAAATTCATCAAGCATAAAATATGCTTTCTCAAAATTGAAAATAATATCCAGTTCGCATACCTGTTAAGGATTAGAGAAATAAATATTTAGACTCAGTATCCTGCTACTGAATATGTTAATGTATACTCAGACCCATTAAACCCTGTTTTGTATATAAATGCACTTCTAGGACAGCCAGAAACAAAGGATATATAAAATTAAATGTGTGGTTTCAAGTTGAAATAATTAAAGACTATGTGACATTGCAAGATCATTTTATGTACCTAACTGTTGAGAAACTGTAATCTTTTCACACTTTTCTAGAAATAAAATCCTACAGGGCACTGGCTATTATTTCTACCTTTTTATAGACAAGCTGAACTTTCTTCAAATTCATTCATGGGCACTGTAATATGCTGGTATAATAAACCAAATGAAAAGAAAACACATTATGCAATGTATTTGTTTTATCATGAATTGGAAGTGTATACAGAAATTAATTTCTGGAGGGGAAAGGAAACCTTTAAACAAATTAGCCTTTCAGTATTCTGATATTCTCTCTATTCTATATTGAGTGTTTATAGAGATGAACATTACATTAAGAACAGAAGTGCACAGAATAATCACATGTGTAAATGAGCAGTTCTCCCTTATCAAAGAAAAATATAGGATATAATACACTTCCAGAAGGCAGGTTAATAAGAAGTGGTGTTCTTTTGAAGTTTTGGTTACATTGTCTTCCATAATGCTGTAATAGTATGAAACTATTGGCTATACAATATGCTATCAAAAGCTTTAATTTTTATGACAGGTTATTAATCCACTGGCAATATACTATAAAAGCACACCATTTTCTAAGATGGAAATATGTGGAAGGTCTCCACTTAGCCTTCACACTCTCCACAATATTTTAACATTTTTCCAGCAATAAAACAATAGCCAGGTACATGAAACTATCTTAGAAGATAAATCAATAACTAATATTTAATGATTAGCTATATGTTTTTCTGCAGATTGTTGCTAGCAAGGAGTTTAGCAGCTGTATTATGAACTAGTTGATGTTCCTAACTAGTTTTCAAGCTGATCCAGAAATTACATATTGTAGTAGTCTATTCTTAAGAGTATGCAAAATAATTGCAACCAAGTATAATATTCTTTTTCTAGACAGGCATGCTTATGAATCTCAGTTGGTTAAACATACTCAATACTACTGACACTATGAAACCTTGGGTGAAAAGGTGTTCAGATATAATCCCCCAGGGAACAGAAGATCATCCATTAATTTTTACTTGATTTATATAGATTTTTATCTGGAATATTTTTTTTTATACTGGTCTGACCACTGGACAATTAATGAATATTAGAAATACATAATTAAAACATAATAAATTACAAATAAGTTAGCTATGGACAATTGTGCATAAAAAGTACTTCTATCTTGTCAAAATCTCGGGATTAAAACAATTTTAAATTATTCAGCATTTCTATGCCTGCATACCTGCTTTCCATTAAAGAAACAAAAGTAACAGCATGATTGGATTCATTTATAGGCTTGGGGAATAAACCCTGGGTGATTAGATATTAGCCATATTTTAAACCACAAACCACAATAAGCAAAGAACAATCATGTTAAACTTTACCAGAATGGATGCAAAGAAAGTTATTTATGGAACAGTAATAAAGAAATAAGCTTACATTGCCAAAATATCTGTCCAATAGCTCTACATAACGATGAACAACTTCTAGGGTCAGGAGTTCATTATCCTCTTCTTCTATTGCACAACAGAAATACAAACTAGCATACCTACATTATAAAACAAGGAGAAAAAAATATGACCATTAGTATATATTAAAGATCAGTTTTGTTCTTTCTTCAAGTTCACTTGCACAGTACATTATAAAATAATTTGCCTGAAAAGTGTTTATCAGTGATTATGAAAACAAGAGGTGCCATATCAGTAATGTAGATATGAAATAAGATAAAAATTCAGCACATAACACAATAATCTGTCATAAAATTTCACCCTGTTTCTCTAAGTCTGTGATAAGCCAACCTATTTTTTACTTCTTGATATACCTCTGTATATCTTAATACTTTAAGAATATCAGTTCCAAATAATATTTCAAATATTTTGCTATATTGATATAGTTTTTATGTAAACAATTTACTTCATTAAAAGAAAGGGCAATTGTCTCTTTAAAAAAAAAACCAACATTCATATTCCAGTACATTTTTATTCAGCTCTTTCAAGATCATGATGAAAATTTACATACTGTTTTGTGACCTTGAATAAATGGATTGCTCTAAGATAAATTAGAACAATCCATGTTTCTCCATGTCATATAATATATGTGGGTATATGCATAATTTTGTATATATTTATTTATTTTGTCTTGTTTATGTAGTGTATAGGTGGAGACCCTTTGAGAGCTGCATGCAATGAAATTTCATTTTGATGTATGCCGATTATTGTACATTCAAAGTGACAATAAAGTTATTCTAAGTCTAAGTCTAAATGTCTGATTAGTACGAAAATTGCTTTTGAGTATTCCATGGGCAGCTCAAGGTCACCCTGAGATTTTAATCACACAAGCTTAGCAGCAGAATTTGCTAGGAAAGTACAAATTAAAAACCATGAAATAACAGCATATAT